AAGGAGGAGGATGTTTAGAAGGAGGAGGAGGATGTGAAGAAGAAGAAGAAGAAGAAGGAGGAGGATGTGAAGGAGGAGGAGGAGGATGTGAAGAAGGAGAAGAAGAAGAAGGAGGAGGATGTGAAGAAGGAGGATGAGGAGGATGTGAAGAAGGAGGATGAGGAGGATGTGAAGAAGGAGGAGGAGGAGGATGTGAAGAAGGAGGAGGAGGATGTGAAGAAGAAGGAGGAGGAGGATGTGAAGAAGGAGGAGGAGGATGTGAAGAAGGAGGAGGAGAATGTGAAGAAGGAGGAGGAGGAGGATGTGAAGAAGGAGGAGGAGGAGGAGGTGAAAGAAGAAGAAGAAGGAGGAGGATGTGAAGAAGAAGGAGGAGGAGGATGTGAAGAAGGAGGAGGAGGAGGATGAAGAAGAAGGAGGATGAGGAGGATGTGAAGAAGGAGGATGAGGAGGATGTGAAGTAGGAGGAGGAGGATGTGAAGAAGAAGGAGGAAGAGGATGTGAAGAAGAAGGAGGAGGAGGATGTGAAGAAGGAGGAGGAGGATGTGAAGAAGGAGGAGGAGGAGGAGGATGTGAAGAAGAAGAAGAAAATAATAATGTATCGGCATGGGGTTAAATAAATGTAAATTACTTTTTTATCCAGCCTCATATGTGCTTAAGAGGAATTTTCTAATATGTAAGCAAGGATTTAGAAATTCTAGTTTAAAAACATTGGCACTAGAAGCTGCAACACGAACATTTCAGAGTGTTTGGGTCTCAAGCTAAGGACAATGGAGAGGATTGAGAAAAAGTTGGCTGGGTCTAATGGCGATTAAGAAGTAGTTTGGAGTGATCACTATCGATGGCGAAGTTTACAATTCATCTCGCGACAGGGCTTCAAAGTCAACAAGGTAGCCTACACCAATGCCTTGAGATAGTACTGCCTTGGGTCAAGATGACAGCTACTGGAAGAAGCTCTGTCTGGCAACAGGACTCTACACCATGCCACACAAGCAGGAGAACCTAGTCATGGCTGACAGACAATTTCTGCAACCACATCATCCAATACATCTGGCCACATAACTCCCCACATTGAACTCCCCTTGATTATTATGTGAGGGGCGTAGTTGAGCGAGAGCTGAACAAAACTCCTTGTAACACTAAAGATGAACTGAACGAAAGGATTATGGCGGCGTTTACTAAATTAAACAACGCCGCCCAGAAGAATTGCAGGAGATTGAGACATCCTCTGGAGGCCGTGATTATTGAAAAATTCACTCTAGGATTTCAAGAAATTTTTGGTAAATATACCGCTTAAAATGAGATATCATACACACACGCATATATATATATATATATATATATATATATATATATATAAAATCTATTATTTATCTTTTAATCTAACGTAATTTTATCACTTCATGGTATATATATATATGTATTTATATGTGTATATGCATATAAGTTCTTAAATGTTTATATAAAGTTATATATATATATATATATATATATATATATATATATGTGTGTGTGTGTGTGTGTGTGTTTGTGTGTGTGTGTAATAATTAATAATAATAAGAAGAAGAAGAAGAAGAAGAAGAAGAAGAAGAAAAAGAAAGGAAGAAAGAAAGAAAGAAATAGAGAAATAAAAAAAGTTGCCACCTTTGCATGGAGAAAAAAAACCGTGAATTTGAAAATGATATCGAATGATAAAAACGAATTAAAATGAGCCATAAAAATGTTTTGAATTTACAGATATACATATGTACATCTGCAGAAGATTTAACCCCCTGAAGATGTTATTAGATGAGATTGAAAGTACTTAGGAAAATTTAGGTATTTTCTTCATCAATTTTCTGCATTTACCAAGAAATTGATTCATGGACTTGAAAGTAATAAAACAACAATAACTAGGTGTCTAAATATTTTAACCATACCTATTTATATATATATATATATATATATATATATATATATATATATATATATATATATATTCAAACAGGTGTTGTTAAATAATTATGTCTAATTATTTAAACACACTTGTTTGAATATATATATATATATATATATATATATATATATATATATATATTCAAACAGGTGTGGTTAAATAATTTAGACATACTGGTTATTGTATATATGACGTGCTACTTTCACTGATCACAAATTGCATGAATCTGCTTGCTACTAGACTCGAATATCGGTCCCACCTTTTCACTGTCGAAACTGTTAAATATAACAGCAAATTCTACTTCAGCAGCTTCTTCAATCGTACTTCCCGACAGTGAAACTCCCTTCCTCTTACTTGCTTCCCTGATAACTCTAATCTTCAAATATTGAAATGTAGTGTCGATCATTATCGTCTGATGCCTTGATCCTGATCCTCGTCCTTCTCTTTATCCTTTCCTGAAACAACCCTCTTTACTCTAACTCTCACTCTGTAATCCCCTTGCGTGCTAATGCGGTGAAATACTTTAACAAAAAGGAAAGGAAGATGTGGAGAGATATGATGTTCCACGGCATGCAAAAGAACTCACTGCTATTATTTTATACCTATTTTATTTAGTCTTTTTTTTTTAACTTTTTCCTCCTTAAAATATCGACCTAAGAGAGAAGGTAGTCATTGCACAAACCGTATTTTTGACACATCGTTTTTTTTTTTTTTTTTGTTTTTTTGGGGTTTTTTTGCTGGTACGTAGCTCCATGTTTGTTTTTTTTTTTCTTTGAGGCTTAGAAGATTTTTACATTTTATTCTATGAAAATCTCGGTGCATTACTTTTTTTTCAATACTTTTTTTTTTTCAAATTGCAGTTCTTTTTGTAACTGAATGTTCCAAAGTCTTCAAAAACCTCTTCAGCAATTCTTTCCTTTCTTTTTTCTAAATCTTCCATTCCTTTCTACTACATCTTCTGTCCGACCGTTTTCATCACCTTTGTTTGTTTGTTTCTGTCTTTCTTTGTTTCTTTCTTTCTTATCAGTCAATATTCTTCTGTCTATCTTCACCTCGGCTTTCTTTGTTCTTTTTTATCATTTAATGTCTTCTTTATTTCTTTTCGTTCTTTCTTTCTTTCTTTCTTTCTCAATATTTGTCTGCCTATCTTCACCTCGACTTTCTTTGTTCTTTCTTATCGTTAGTTTCTTCTGCCTCTCTTTCTTTCTTTCTTTCTTTCTTTCTTTCTTTCTTTCTTTCTTATTTTGTCTCCTTTGCTTCCGTTCATTCTTTTTCTACTATTTATTTCTAATCTCTCTCTATATTTTGTTACGCCGACATTTGAAACTTTATTCTTTCTTTCTTCCTATTCTTTCTTTCTTTCTTTCTTTCTTTCTTTCTTTCTTTCTTTCTTATCAGTTCATATTTATCTGCTTATCTTCACCTCGGTTGTCTTTGTTCTTTCTTATCATTTAGTTTCTTCTGCTTTTCTCTCTTTCTTTTTTTTCTTTTTTCTCTCCTACTTTTCTACTCTTTTTATCTCTAACACACACTCTCTCACTTTGTTTCTTACGGTTTCTCTCTTCATCTTGAATTCACTCAAAAGGCCCTCTCTTAATTTTTCTTTCTTTCTTTCTTTAATTCTTTCTTTCTTTCTTTCTTTTCAGTCAATATTCTTCTGCCTATCTTCATCTCGGCTTCCTTTGTCCTTTCTTATCGTTTAGTTTCTTTTGCTTTTCTTCTTTCTTTCTTGCTTTATTTCCTTCGTTTCTACACTTTTTAACACACACTTATCTTATATTCATTCAAAGGACCTCTTTTAATCTTTCTTTCTTTCTTTATTTATTTATTTTTCTTTCTTTCTTTCTTTCTCATTCTGTATGTCTGTCCTTCCTTCTCATTTTCTCAGTCTTCTGGAAACTGTTCCCTTTTTACCTGCAATTCGTGAGTTTTTTTCCCTCCATTTTTCATTTTATTCTGTTCATTTCCTCGTCATTTCCGTTGCTGACGACAGCCATTTTCATCAAAGGGAGACAACCGTTAATATTCAGGTCAACCTCCAAATTATCTGTGTACTGGGACTCAAAAAGCCTATTGCATTTCCGCGCTAATCTGGTTACCAAATCGAGGCGCAGCTGCAGAAGAGAAATCCGATCCTTCTGTACATTAGATCCGAGAATGCAATCCCTATCAACACATCCCGAGAACTCGAAGGCAAAAAAATATTATCGGAATTTAATACATATACATGTATAGCTAAAGAAATGTACACACACAGAAACATACACATATACACACGCATATATATATATATATATATATATATATATATATACATATATATATATATATATGAACCCCCAAATTAACACTTTCAAAGTAAAGCAAAATAACAGCGTCTGTTTCTAGCTATTTTTTACAAAGAAAATTGGTGACATCTTTTTCTCTCTTAACTTCCTTCTCTCTTTTTCTCTCTATGGGTTTTTTCTTCTCTACCCCTTCGATATCAATATATAACTTCCGTTAAGTTAACCGTTTAAATGTGTCAATATCTGCTAACTCACTCATGTCTCCTCTCTCCCCCCTCAATTCCTGACTTCGTTAATTTACATATGTTTAATACGGCCCGTCAAAAATGTGTAAATTTTCTTTTCATTTTTTGTTTGGAAGTAAAGTCTAATGATCCACAGTCCTTTTAAAAGGCCTGTGGTGAAATAATTATGACATGAAACCTTAAAGTGGTCTGTTTATATATATATATATATATATATATATATATATATATATATTTGGTTGGATAGATGTGAGTTTGTGACCCTGGGTTTCTCGCTTTAGCGATCGTCAGCGTGAAACCCAGGGTCACAAACTCACATCTATCCAACCAAATATGTTAGCTCTATCTCTGATATTGAGCGCTTTCTAATAAGTACCGCGCATATAATATATAAATAATTATATATATATATATATATTTTTATTTATATTTATATACACACACTTTTCACACTTTTCACACACACACACACACACACACACACACACACACACATATATATATATATATATATATATATATATATATATATATTTATAGATAGATAGATAGATAGATAGATAGATAGATAGATAGATATTTGATCAACAGTCTCTTCTGATGGAAAAATGAACAGGGAAATCTAATCCAGAATAGCACAGAATTCGGTAATCTTAAACATACTTTATGTAACACAACAGACATGTGTCTCAGAGTAAAGATCGACATATACAGATCCGTCGTTCTATCAACCCTTGTCTATGGTGCTGAAACTTGGAGCCTGTACCGCAAACACATAAATCAACTTGATGCCATTCACATGCGCTGTCTTCGTGCCATATATGATATAAAATGGGATGACAGGCTCAAGAATAATGCAATACTAAAGAAATGTAACAACATCACGAACATTGAAACCATTCTAGCAAAGATACAAATTAGGTGGACTGGTCATGTTGTGAGAATGCATGAGCATAGGCTTCCAAAAAAAGGTGCTGTATGGACAACTGCCAAACTCCAAGAGTTCAGTTGGACGTCCATTCTTACGCTACAAAGACAAATTGAAAGACAACTTGAAACGTCTCAATTTTGATCAGAAAACCTGGGAAATCCAAGCATTAAACCGAAAATAGTGGCGGAAGATGTTTCATTGAGCTAAATAGTTTTCAGTTGACTGTAAACTGAAGCACCGGGATCTGATTCGTCAAGCTCTGAAGCAGAGACACCGTCAAAATCCTGCAAATTTCATCTGTCAGTGTGGCTTTGTCGCCCGCAGCAAGGCTGATCTAGTATCACGCTTCAGAAAGAACAAATAAAATATGCCTTTTCCTTACCTGATTTTCTCCACAATAGCCCCTGTTAGCATGCGTAAGTGTAAAACGAAAGACACCATCCAATGTTGACCATCATTTATCGTTCACGGTAGGAGAGTCCACCATATATATATATATATATATATATATATATATATATATATATATATATGTTATGGTCCGGTTCCTTGTTCCACGGTGATAGTCCAAGGTAGAACCAATAAAGATGTACTCGAACACAGGTATGGAATAACACAGATATATTACAAACAGGAATATATACAGAGAAGTAGAAGTGTTAGTATGAACAATCAGGCTTAGTAGAGAGAACAATGTAGTCTCGACCAGTATCACTATTCAATGTCTTGCAGTAATTGTCTGAACGCGACTCTGTTTCGGACTGCCTCTGACTCGACTCTTGACTCGACTTGAACTACTGACTCACTTGAACTACTGACTCACTTGAACTACTGACTCCTTGCCTACTCCTGGAGGCGCAGTATTTATTAAGTATAGAATAGTCAATTATTATTATTATGGGTAAGATCCCATAACAATATATATATATATATATATATATATATATATATATATATATATTAGAAATATCACAAGAAAATACACTACCCCAACTGACCCGAACAAAAACTTAAAGCAACAAACCTTAACCTCAAAAATGACAACACAGCCGCAAAATCATAATTACAACGAACAAACATTATATATGAGTTCAAATTCCCCTTAAGGAACTCTGTTCCTGATCAAACTGAATTCATAAATAATTCCACCGATCACATGACGACATGCCTATCCAGAGTCCTTACGTTATAGCCATCCGACCACACCTATATTAGAACAAACACACAAACTTACCAGACCCCATATGAGGCATACTAGTAGAAAATACTAGCATAATAACCTCATCCATATATAAAAAAGATTAAAAATAATAAAAGCCTTACTAATAAAAAATAAAAGCGCAAACACCCAATAATATTAACTACGAACACGGCCAGAATGTTCTGTCTGTGCTTGGAAAATAAAACATCCCTATAACTCTAGAAACATACACACAACCCATACACCCAGTTAAAAAGCAAAAATAATAAAATCATCCTTGATAATGGCTAAAATTATAACCGAAAGCGCTCGAAATTACGGAAAATATATATATATATATATATATATATATATATATAAAAAATAAATAAATGGCAAATATTATTTAAAACAAATATATATATGCATTATGAAATGGACAAAGTCCGACAATTATTTAAGACATTTTTTTATGTTTATATATTCTTTTTATAGATACAAATATTTAATTAAATGCTCTGTTTATAATAAAGAGTATTAAACAACATTTACCGGCCTGAATGTCCGAGGAATTTTCATAGAAAATAAGCGTCCTGCGACAGGAATCGAACTTGTTTCCTATACGGAACCGTCATATAGCCTGACGTGCCTTAACCGATTGGCCCACAGGGGATCGTTCGATTATCAAGGTTGATTTTACTGTATAAAACACAATTCTCCATGATTTTCTCTCATTCATTCATATCTGCTCAATGCGTATCCAAATGTAAACAAATCAGGTTAAAAGTCCGACAATTATTTAAGACAATTTTTATTACAAACAGACCATTTACTTAAATATTTGTATCTATAAAAAGAACGTATAAACATAAAAAATGTCTTAAAATATATATATATATATATATATAAATGTTATGTATATTTACACACACACACACACATATATATATATATATATATATATATATATAAGGCAAATATTATTTAAAACAAATATAACATTTATATATATATAAATGTTATATTTGTTTTAATAATATTTTATATATATATATATATATATATATATATATATAAAGGCAAATATAATTGTGTTAATTTTGATGACCGATTTTCCAGACTACGAATAATCCTTCTCAGACAAGGAGGGAATTTCGTCAGAAACCGTAAGAAGGTCATTTTGCCAGGAAGGCACATGAAATATGGTCCAGACTTTCTACTTAAGTCGTCATCATGTGTAGGTAGAGACAATTGGCGAGTTTCCCAGGCAAAATGGTCGAATAGAACTTCCAAAAATCAATTTGTTTTTTAATTCGGGGACAAAAATTTAAATCGTTTGAATTGATATAACGTAAAACAAACAAATCACTCAAACAAATCAATCGGGAGGGAAAAGAGGAGGAATCCTACCTCTCACAATGGGATTTACACGTTAATAAATATAACAAACTCGACTGGAATTGGAACTCGACACTCCGATTAACAATTACAGCCGGGTACTTTATCCAGAGCCATTATCCATAACACAACCTGTACATCCAAGCTTACAGCATATGTCCTTCCTAAGCTTTCACCCATCTAGTTACTAACCAGGCTAGACGTTGCTTATCTTTGGTGATCGTACTAGAACCGATGTTTCAACGTGATATGGCCGCCAGCATTGAATTCACCTGTGGGTAGCCGATTAGCCAGATAATGGTATTATTACTGTTGATTGTCTCCACAGCCTAAAGGCGTGTATGCCATTTCTTGAACAATGATATACACGTTGGCCAAATGTAGACTGCTCTGCACGTGACAGTTCTCAATGGAATCACTCGGGTATCGAGATAATAAAATATCGGCAACAGGTCAGTAGATAAGTCAAGGTTTTCACAAGACTATCAAGGGGCAGAACGTCAATATAAGGCTGGTATCAGAAATGCTCCCAGCAGCAACCTGTAAGGCCAAACCAGGAAGACGAGGTTAATCTCTCCTTGACAGGTCACTGTCGAGGAATTTGCGCGCAAGCAGTCCGACAACGTCAGCTATTGAGAACTTATCGACGCATGAGTCAAATATCGGAAGGACGTCCCAATTGTTATCTGACGAAAGGTTTATCTGGGAGATAAAATAAACTTTAAATTGACAAATATTAGTTCCAAACTCAGTGTGTTTTTAATTCGGGGAAATGCAATTAAATCGTTAAACTATGGAAGATATTATCCCGTTCATTGAATAATGAGATATGAAAAAGTTAAAATGAATTTAAAAAGTTATTAATATCACTATATAAAATAAGCAAAACTTATATACCACTATTTAAATTTGGTAACGGCCAGTTTTCGATCGGCACCTGTCGGCTGCATCGTGCCTGAAACTCAGAGTTGTGGTACTGGTAAGGAACCATATATTCTTCTTCTTCTTCTTCTTCTTCTTATTATTATTATTATTATTATTATTATTATTATTAGAAAGATGTATAGATAGATAAGAACACACTGAGATACAGTGAAAAGAAAGAAAGAAAAAGGCAGGGATAGATAAATAGGATAAAGAAATAAAGAAAGAATGAAAGAAAGAAAGAAAGAAAGAAAAATGGCTGAGATAAATAGAAAGAAGAAACAAAGAAAAAGGTTAAGAAATATATCAACTGACTGAAATAGATATGAACAGACTAAGAAGATAGATACTAAGATAGATACAGATAGAAGATAGATAGAAATAGATAGATAGATAATGAATAGATAGAAGATAGATAGATAGATAGATAGATGATAGATAGATAGATAGATAGATAGATAGATAGATAGATGAATAGATAGATAATGAACTGACTGAGATAGATAAAGATAGATAGATAGATGATGAATAGATAATGAACTGACTGAGATAGAAGATAGATAGAAAGAAAGAAAGAAAATGAACTGACTGAGATAGATAGAAAGATAGATAGATAGATAATGAACAGACTGAGATAGAAATAGATAAATAGATAATGAACTGACTGAGATAGATAAATGATAGATAGATAGATAGATAATGAACAGACTGAGATAGAAGATAGATAGATAGATAGATAGAGATAGATAGATAGATAGATAGATAATGAACAGACTGAGATAGATAGATAGATAGATAGAGATAGATGATAGATAGATGATAGATGGATAATGAAGACTGAGATAGATAGATAGATAGATAGATAGATAGATAGATAGATAGAGATAGATAATGAACAGATGATAGATAGATAGATAGATAGATAGATAGATGAAGATAGATAGATAGATAATAAAATGGATGGATAAAACTGAGATAGATAGAAGATAGATAGATAGATGGATAGAAAATGATAGATAATGAATCAGATAGATAGATAGATAGATAGATGAGATGGATATGAACTGACTGGGATGGATGAACTGACTGAGATAGATAGAT